GGCGGGTCTAGACAGAGAGAGGGAGAGTGGGTGGAAGAGGGAGAGCAAGAACTGCGCGACCCAGACCTGATCCCCTGATTCCGTCTTTTCCCTTGTCAATAACAACAACAAGCCTCTTCTCCCTTCGAAATCACATGATAGGAATCTGGCCTCAACTTTGACAGACTGCAGGCTACGATTAATTCATTTTGAGATCTTCCCAGACTGGTTTTCTCCGGTCGATGCATGCGTCTCGGGCCGAGTTTCTAGACCCCAAGAGATACAGGCCGTCGGTTTGGGTCAGTCTACGGTCTTGTCCAGATCACATAGTTAGGGATTGCCCCATTTGGTGCTTACTATGCGAACACCACCGCCAGAGCTTTGCATGTTGATCTCTCCTTTCCGTTTTCCTTCTTCACAATGGAGACGCCGAAATGCGCTCGTTGGAGCCGCACAGCAAGAGGCTCCTGGTCGCCGGGAACCACGGGTTTCATCCATGGGCAGGCTTTCTGTCGTACAGTGAGACTTGCTCGTGATCAGATGGGAAGAGAAGATTAGTGTTCTTCTCTGACATGGTTGAGATACTTGTTTTGGCTTTAGCGCATGAGAAAGCATTCGTCATATACGGAGTACGAACTGCAGTTGCGCCCGCCGTTGAGTAATTACTATGTAGTAGTTAGAGGAGGGAACAGGGGTAGCAGAAGAGAGCAGAAGGTACTAAAGAATTAGTTAGTTCCTGGATAGTTTGGTTGATTGTTGGTTAGTGCTTCAAGCAGGCAGCCGGCATCTAGAAAGAGTTGCTTGCGTGCTAGACTCACTACTAAGGTTGACTAGCCTCGGAGCGTGTTGAGTGTTGGTGGGATTTAATCTTGTCATCAACTGTCGAGTCATGCCGCCACGGATAACGCGGGGTTCATTCCAGGTTCCGAGCGTTTGTTTCGCAGGGTGTGTCGGGGAGCCAGGACCCAGATCGACCATCTGTTCAATTGATTTTGATTTTTGATTTTTATTGTTCTCTTCGCGTCTCCCCCTTATCGCACGAGACCATCCCATCCGGGCTAGACTTGGACAACAAAACAACTGGAGTTGGCTGAATTGGTGAATGACGAGGATAGTAATTTCGATATTGCGATAGTACTAATCAACTAATGCATTGTTAGCTGCTGAATCAGCCACGTCCCGTTGGCCTCGGCACACGCACTTTCCTCCACGTTCGCATCCGTCGTGGCGGTTGTTTGCGTAGAATTAAATGGAGCTGCAATCGGCATCTCCTTGCTTGCATATCTCACTCTCCGATGGCAGGCCACTCGCACGCAGTCAGTCGGCTGTTGCAGCAAGCAGCCGCTCCGGAGATTCAGAGAGGCTAGAGAGACAGAGGCAGTGATTGATTCATGGTCGTGTTGATTAATCTAGTACCCCGTACTCCGTGCTATCATCATCATCATGTGCCATCACTACCTATCTCTAGAGTACAGTACGTACAGTACTCGTAGTCAACTTGACGACACCACACTTCCCCGGGGAGATCGGGAATCACTGGGCAATGTTTTTTAGTCCTTGGTCTCTAATATCAAGTCGCGTGTTGTGTTCATCTCGAACTGCCGGGTCGCGCTCGAGCTTCTGGCACGCTCGTTGGACAGTGGATAACTAACTACCTACCTTACTGTAACTACTAGTAAACCACCTTAATAGTGCATGATAATAATTTACCTACTCCGTACTTTCCGTACCAAAGTCCCTCACTGAACGGACGGGGTGAGTGAGTGAACAGTCGTCCTCCAGCCAGAGTCCAAGGGACTTCCGATTGTCCATCATTTGCAAACTCCTGGAACGGAAGCAGACTGGATCCGTGGAAGAAGACGAGAACGAACACTCACTCTCCAGAACTGATCCACCATCGATCGGTATTCTCCCCTCCCCTCCCTCCCTCTGGTCTGTTTCTCTGTTTCTCTCCCTCTCTCTCTCTCTCTCTTTTCGACTACCACCAACACATCGACTTCCCCCCTAAAATCCCAAGGACCGTTCCGGGCTCGATTCATCCATTCATTATTGGCATATTGCTCTTCTTCTTGTCTGGGACGGACAGACGGACGAACTGCCACTCCCTCTCTTTTTCTCGCTTTTCTCTTTTACAGTCCTTGTTCAGTGACTCTCTACGGAGTACTTACCTAACTATCCTTCCTTCCTTCCTTCATCTCTCTCTCTCTCTCCCACCCCAGTCCGTTCAGCCAGTCATCATCATCACTACTATCATTCTCCTTTAAACATCATCATCGCCGCCGTCATTCCAGGTTCACCACCTCCACCATAGCAAGCCTTCTTCGTCTCCAGTTTCTACTTGATATTCAATTTCTTGAGCATAATATGTTTGCAAGTCATTACATGTTTACTCACAACATCCTTTGATCGCTGTTGAGGATCCATTTGACTACTTCATACTTCTTTACTTTGCGACTTACTACTTAGATATTACTACTGCTACTTAACTAGGCACTTCCCCCCCTCTCCCCTTCACTCCAGCCTGCTTTCTTTCTCTTCCTCCCTCTCTCTCTCCCTCTCTCTCTTTTTTTTTTTGCCACGACCGAGCCGTCCTCCGCCACCGACAGCAGCACCAGCACCACCACGACCCCACGCCGGCGCACCACCACGGGCCTTGTGGTGGTGAGGCTTAACCACAGTCTTGTCCACATCAATATCGCGGGAGTGGTCGTCTTGATAGTAGTCGTTGACGGTGGATGAGAACTTGCTGGTGATGGGCAAATCAAAGGTGTTGCCGACATCAACTCCCTCAGGCCCACCGATCACATCGACATTCTCATAATAACCACGTGCCTTGAAGTGACCAGGTCCGTGGTGCTTGGGGTTCACGATGGTGGTATCTCTGTCAATGTCCCGGGAGTGGTCATCAATATACGCGTCGTTGACAACAGACGAGAACTTGCTCGTAATCGGCATATCGAAGGTGTTGCCCGTGTCAATACCCTCAGCGCCGCCGATAACGTCGACATGTTCGTGCTCTCCGCGAGCCTTGAAGTGGCTCGGGGGGTGCGACTTGGGTTTCACAATGGTGGTGTCGATATCGATATCACGCGAGTGGTCATCGACATAGGCATCATTGACCGTGGAGGAGAATTTGCTGGTGATGGGCAGAGCAAATGAATTGCCCGTGTCATCACCGCCGGGTCCTCCGATGACGTCGACGTCTTCGTGCCCACCACGAGCATGGTGGTGCTTGGGATGACCGTGAGGCGGCACCACCTCGACGACATCCTTCTCCAGCTCAAGGGAGTGGTCATCTTCATGGTACGAGTTCTCGTTGTTCGACTCCGCGTGGACTTGCGGCTTCACGTAAGTCGATCCCTCGGACAGTCCGTCGTTGGACTGGATCACTTCCTCTCTGGCCTTGTGGTGGTGAGGGCGACGGCCATGACCCGGCTCGATGACGGTCTTCTTCGCATCAAGGTCGAAAGAGTGGTCGTCCGAGTGGTAGTCGTTCACCTCACTCCGGAACTTGTTGTCGACCGGCAGCGCGGCGTCACTGCCGCGATCTTCGCCCTGCGAGCCCCCGATGACCGAAGTGGCGCGGGCGACAGCAGCCAGGGCCGCGAGTGGGATTCCTGCCTGAAGTCCCTTCATGCTTGTTGCTGTTGGTGTTAATTATAATCGATGGAGATTTCACGTCAAGGTATAAGAAACAAAATACAATACAACCGAAAGTTGAAAGAGTGACTGGGGGCCAAGGCCGGTTGAGGGAGGGGCGTAGTAAAAAAAGATTAAGGAATGAATTAAAAAAGAATTGGTTGTCGACTATTCACGTACGATCGATTCGACCTGCTTCGAACAAGAAGTGCCTAGGTTCGCGGACCCTGTTGCACCTTTTATCATAGATGGCATCATCCTGGCGCCGGCATGCTGCTTCCTCTGCGGCAAACAAACAAATACAAGCAGGGTGTTGTTGTCCTTCTGAGAATGCTGTGAAGAATGGGCAGTCCTCAAAATCCAAGCCAGACCATGTGTTCCCAGGAACCTGAGGGTTCTTCCCTCAGTGGTGGTTCGCTGAATTCCTCATGCTGAATGGCGTATAGAGTCAAGGGATCGGTATGCGCGATCTCCACGCCTGGATGAACATAATAGGTGCGGATATCAAAGATGCCGTCCTGATCCAATGGGAAATCGAACAAAACTTCGCGTTGATCAATGGGATTAGCTCCATCTGGACATGCGAGCGTGATGAAAGTTGGAGAACAACTTGTTGTATGGGAAACGGCCAGGTACGAAAGCTGCAGCGATGTGGGTCCCGTCGCCGGCGTCCGGCATCACTTTCTTCCGCTGCTTCTTTAATAAATCCGGCACTGCCAGCGGCCACCTGAGGACAGTCTGATTCTGCAGACTGATCAATTGGTCTAGACGCAGCTTTTAGCGAGTTTACGAAGTTGAACAAAATACGTGAGAAAACGGCCATTTTTCTTCAAGTGGGTGATATTCAGTACAATCATTATATACCAAAAGTGATGTATCCCGTCATCGACATTCCCCCCTCATCGCCCTCACTGAAGAGGACACAACGAGAAGCGAACTTCCTATCAGGGAGAATTGTTCTCCAGAGCCGATCAGTCCGTAGACCGAAGGCAACACTCGTCGTGGGAAGATGGACGAGGGTCGTGGCAGGCTCTGTTAGCTTTTTTCGATGTAATGAAGAAAAGAAAAAGTTCAGATAGGGAGCGTCGCCAGCACACGGTATTTATGTGGCCTGTGGATCACGTGCTTGAGCTAGGCATCCCTCCCTCGCTAATTGCCAAGCTGTCAGGCACCCACCCGTTTGGCCTGTATGTTCTGTTTGTATTTGATCTTATCCCGTTGTTACAAGCAACAATCTCGCCCCGCATGCGTCGCTAGCAAAAGACCAGAAAGAGCCACCAAACCCTCATTTATGTACAGGAACTCGGAAGAACTCAAAAAAAAGAAGAAGAAGAAGAAGAAAACCCCAACTGAAAAAGCGAAAATGTACATGCAACCCAGTTCCTACCCAGCGAATGCTCTCCAGACTCCAAACTCCCATGCAGTATAGTTACGCTCCGCTGAAATGTGTTGTTTGAGGTGATGACACGGCAAATTGTATCACAACCGAGAATGGTAGGTTGAGGTATCGACGGAGAGGGGCAAGGAGACACTGGTCCTATTCGTGTACTGTACTTAGCATTTGGCGCCTCCCATGAAGCCATAATAGTCAACATACCTGTGTATCCTCAGCCGATTAACTCCTGTCGGTGATCCGACCTCCACACGGCTCCTCCGACAGCGACGGTAATTCCCACCGCGATCGCAATCATGGTTCCCAGGATCACCACGGCAATGACGCCTTTGGCCACGATGCGCTGCTTGCGGCTCAGCCGATTCATGCACCCGCAGTGCCTCTTCGGTTGGCCCCAGAGATTCGACGTCGACTCATGACGGCTGCCCGACTCCAAGGCGGATACGTTGAACATGGGCGGGCTCTCGGGGATGACGGGGGAAATGTAGCGCTGGACGGTGGGCTGGGGTTTCTCACTTTCCACCTTCAGGCGATCGATGTTCACGGATGGGGTGGCATGGCGATAAAAGGGTGAGGAGGGCTTTGCGCCCACACAGGGGTTGTAGTCTCCTGGCTGGAGATCAGGGGAAGAAGCCGCCGCCGCCAGGTGTGCTGGTGTTTCAGAGTCGGCGGGGAGCTCGACCGCGGCGGGATATTTCTCGGCTTCGCACACACTGTGACCTGTCATTTCGCCAGGGTGATTCGTTCGGTTGGGGTCCCTTGGGAGGTGGCGTGGAATATCGGATGCTGTTTTTTGGGGAAGCTTGTTTGGGGCAGATGTTAGGTTGCGACTTTGGGGTCAAAGATAGGAGTGCAGGTGCAGGTCATGAAGATCAGGTTTATCGGTGTGGAGCTCCAGGAGCAGCAACCTAATGATAGTACTTGGTCGCAAAGGACAACGTCTGGGCCCAGGATGTCGTAGGCCGTTCAATGCATGATGGAAGGGGGTAATAGCAGTAAGTCAGTGGTGGCTTCCTGAGGCGTGCAGCGGGTTGCGACTCGGGGCTCGCCATGGCAAGATCCATCCCGATCTTTTGTGTCTTTTCATCGGCGGGAGCTAACGATGACAGTTGGAGAGCTGCAGACAGCATTCCTATTGTTTTCAGTGGGCTGGCCCTGATCCGGCTACTTTGGGTGGCAGTCTGGAGTCACTGGGGCAATCGGAAGTATTTGCATGCTTCTATTTTGGTCGGGACTGGCCGCGTTCGACACCTTGGCCGCCGTTATATGATTGTTTGCATTATCCTTTATCTCGATAAATTTTTATTGCTGGATAGATTCGACTGTAAGCAATTCGCTCTCGATAGAACTTTGAAATAGATGATGAGGAAGTAAACAGAAAGCCCTCATGGTGTGGTGGTAAAGGTTGCCGGGGGGGGTATGTTCCAGAGCGCAAGTTATATATCTCCAAGTTCTACACCACAAACATCAATCTATGATGTATCCGCTCAACCTCCTTACAAACATCAATTATGACATCGGAAACCAAGTTCACAACATGATATAGTTAAATATTATTCGATCTTCCTAATTACCAGGTTCTAATCTCGCCATGCTGTCAAGGTGTGGTGAGCAGACATAGTACTGCGCCTGCACCTAAAAATAACGATACAATACCCGACTTCACTCCCTGCTTGATTACATCTGCACCGAACACCAATTGACCACCTATAGACCGACTCAAATATTGAGAAAAGTATATACACCCAGCAGCATCTCCACCGACGAACAAGCTCACCAAACTACACCAAGCTTCATAAGAGTCCTCATTCCCGTCGCTTGACCCGTAAGCCTGCCCATCGTCCAAGATAGAGAGTCTAGACCTTCAACGCAGCCATCATCGTTGTCAGTCACTAGATCTATAGGAACAAAAGCCCACTCCACACCAAGCCACTCAATCCCCCTCCCACCGCCGGATGATCTCAACGAGCCCCAACTCCACACCACCACTTCCTTCCTCAACCCACTCCGCTGGTTGACTAGGATACACCTCAAGACCACCAGCTCAAGTATGTGTATGCTCGCGGAATGTAGAGCAATCCATCACCAATGAGCGGAGGAACTGAAATGAATTGTTTCCGGCCAGAGGGAGGGGGGGGGGCAAAGGGCAGGGTCCCACTGCACTGCACCCATAAGTTCATCCCTTGATCCCCCCTCGCAACTATCCCGCCCAGCATTCCCCAGCGACTCAACGATCGAAAGGAAACTTGAAATATGAATCAATGTCTCTCTTACCCTCTCTGCCGATTCCCCGTGAGGCTCCTCAGAGAAGAAATGGAATCCAGTAAGTGGTCAGATATTCCCGCAATGGCGTCCTGTAGTCCATGGAAACCGGGCCCTGAGATTCGCTGCCTGAGTCACTTTCCAGCCACCTTCCATCAAATATGATGGCTTCCCCCCCCACTTTTTGCCCTGTTGGCTGAGTCACTTGGGGCAACGGATGTGGAGTTCAACCGCCGACGATCCAGATGTTCTGTCGAGATCTCAGCCTGGCTCGCGTGACCATCTCTTTCCCCAACGTGAGAGTAAGATAGGGTCTAGGAATTGTTCCACCATGCAGGACAAGACCGCTTCACCAGTGACATGGAGCACGCACGAGTAAGATGAATAGTACTAGGTACCCCTAAGAAACCAAGATTGTCCGCGTCGAAGGTCAGTCAATGCACGCCGCGGGCCTTATTTGAAAGTATCATTATACTACACTGGCAGTATCAGTATACGTATACTACACTTCCCGCTCCCTTCCCCAGCAAACATCACCATCAGCCAACTCCATGCACAAAGAACCCAACACGCCCCGGTCCAGAAATAAACCAAGTAAACCACCAAGCCCCCCCCCCC